GGATATATTCACACTGCTCTCTGACTCAGCTCGCAGCCCCTTCCTCATAACCTCTAGAGTGGGCACTCTCCTGAAAAGTACAAATTCAAATCTCCTTTAGCAGAGGACACATACTGAACCATCAGTAACACAAGTAAATAAAAACAGTAATGAACCTATATTTACCATATCCCAGGTGAATATCACTGGGATATTAAAGGAGGGAAAACACACAAGCAAGCACACTCCTTCCCTTCTATGTTATTGCCCGATGCACCAGGCATAACCCTGAAAGCACTTCCTGGATCAAAGTCCTGGCAGCCAAAGAGGGGCATAAATTGGATCAGAACTCCTATGCAATATGGCCTACCTATGAGGAATGAGGAAGCATTAGAAATCCCTAAAAGCAGATTTTGCTATGCCAAATCAACTGTAATATCAAAAAGAGACTCTGAGCATATAAGGGCCTTTTTAAGGTTGGGTATTAGCTGAGTCACAAGTCAAGGAGTTTATAGTTTTGACTCATATATTTCTTGCTAAAAGCTTTTTGTGGTAAATAAATCCTTCACACCTTTTAGTGTCTACAGGTCAAGATCATACCTATGTACCCACTGGGATAGAGAAGCAGATGCCCAGCGGGATTCTAAAATCTCAGACTCCTGCCTCACCACAAGTTAAGTGCAGTACATTACTGAAAATACCTGTGGATGCCTTTCTACTTCTTTAAATGCCTGAGTGTCTCCAAGTCCAAGGCCACTTTTGCTACCAATTCTGAATTGGTTAAATGCTTTAGAGGAGGAACACCCTGCAGTTCTACACATTTGGGTGTCAATACATTTAGGGCAGGGCTGTTGGAGTTGCCCAGAGGTCTTTGGCTCAATAGTCCACCACAGAGAAAGCTCCATGAGCATTGCGCAGTGGTCAGCTAGCTGTGAGACTGTTATTTGTCCTGGGCCAAATCCTGAAATCCTTACAGGAACTAAACAAAGGAGCAGGCTTCATGACACCTGCCTACACAAGGCTGGTTTCCTGTAACCCGACTGGGTGCACGCAAAAGGCTGTTAGCTGGGAGTTCGTGCCTCCCATCTGTAGCAGCTTTTGACACCTACTCTGTACAGCTGCTAGCAAATGTGGGATAAATAGACTTTCAGGGCGAGGTAAAAATAAAGTAAAACAAACAAACAAAAATATTTCCAACCCCGTGTTAAATCTGCTGCAGAGGCACTAGGGGGAGAGCTAGAGCACTTTATGGGTTTGGATTTTTCCCATCTCCTGGTTATTTCATCATTTCCACACGAAAGAAGGGCACCTACGCACTTATTTTAATTAAGACCCCAAAACTCGTAACAAGGCTTATTTTGCATGAGGTACAAGAAATTGGACATAGATGTGCACACAGATGCATGATTGCTGTAAACGTATATCTTAGGAATACATTGCATTTCTCCTCTTTCCGCCTTTTCACCCCTGCTACTTTCACTTGTGAGCAGAAGAAATGTTTCTAACTTCTCATTGTCTACTTACATTTGTACCACAACTTCCTTTGCTCAATTATAGCTCCGGGAATGACTTAATAAAGTGCTCGCAAGCTGTTTCCAGTTATGACATAAATATATTGATTGGGGAGCACAGTCTTTTCTTTTTCACGAGTCACCATCTGCAGCAAGCACCTTTATTGCTGTAGCAAATATACTGTAGATAAAACTTTAGCTAAACTAAGTCTGTCAATTAACTGCTGCTAATTAGTTAGTCACAATTATTTTATTTCAGAAAATAGACTAAATGGAACATTTTCACCTTCTAAAATTGACACTGGGAATAAAATGAGGTCATGTCTTCAGTAATTCAATACTAAATTATTTTTCAGGCTGCAGTGCTGTACAGTTACTGCATGGTAATTAAGAATCAGAGGATCTAGGTTCAAATTGCAGTCAATTTTCCGTATACTCTTGTGAGGTGATTACATATTACCAGGTCCACTTTATAAATGGTAAACTAAAACACAAATATTATTTATAATTTGTTAGAAGCAGACAAAAAAAAGCAAATCTGGGACTAGAAGATCTATAGGAGTCCAGTTAAAAGGCTACAAGGGAGAAAAAAAGCAATGACCCAATTAACTAAAAGTGCTGCAAATTGTTCATGTATTTTACATGCAGAAGAAGACTAATGCAGAAGCCTGCTGGTCTGCATAACATGAGCAGTAGAATTCCAGTCTTTTAAGTACCCTTAGTAGACATTTTTTCCTTCCCCATTTTACAAACAAAAAGTCAAGGGTTATAGTTCCTCAATAATGTAGCATCTAGTTTCTTGAAGAGTCCTTCTGTGTTTCAAGCTTCTCAGCATATAGCTGTTTTCATTAATATGGCATTTCACTGACCTAGACAATGTAAAGTGAAAATAAGAGCAACAAATTAGTGCATAAACACTGAAATTAAAGTTTCATTCATCTCATTAATATTTTACTAGTAACACTGTCTACTCCCTGCTGCCATTACCCAGTCAGTAGGCAGTTCCATCACCACCTCACTTAGACATGTTTCCAGTACATGAGAAGCAGAAATTAGATAAGTTAATCTTTCCTCCTGACTGTTGTGTAGCCAACTACACTCATGTCTTAACCTAGTTTCCACCTGATCTTACGCAGCTCACTTTGAAACTCCTTGCAAAAATCCTGACTTGACATTTACCCAAAGAAGACAGGCAGACCATGCTTTCAATTTCAGCCACAACAAAACAGATAAAATAGGTCTCCTCCCTTGTTTTTCCACCATATATCTACTTATTTAAAGGCAGAGTTTATCTGATTTCTCAGGGAGCCTACACCTCCACCAGAACTCAAAAATGGGGCAGCCACTTCCCTGCTCATCTGCAGCAAGGAGGCACAGGTGTGGTTCTGCAAAGTCAGACACCTGCCATCCCCAGCCTGAGTGGGTTTTGATTTTAATTTTTTTCCTTCAAGGAGAAAATGCCAATACCTGTTTCATTTGCAAAAGTTTGTATGCTTTGTGCCTGAATTATACATTGGTGCAGGTACTAAATGCAAGCGTGAGGGTATTCTTATTTGCCCATGCATTCACTGAGGTTTGTGCATGTAAGCTGCAATAAAGCAACACTGCTGGCTGATGGCAAACAGTGTATGTGCAGTTACCTGACCAGTAACCTAAAGGAGACCTTATGCCTCTTAAAGTAGTGCCCTACCCTCCTACAGCACTATCTAGGCCACATATAGGTATTTAGAACTTCATTCCAAATTTGGATCTCTCAAATCTTTCTTGTAGCTGAGGATGTGCTCAGTTTGAGAGCTCCAGTTTCAGTCCTCACTGCAGCAGCAGCAGGTTTCCAGATCAATAAACAAATGTGAACTGAGTGAATAGCTGTGAAACTTCTATGCCTAAAAAGTTCCCCCTACTCTCCCAAAATTGTATTTTTGCATTACACATTTCTCAGTTCCATTACTTCACTAAATAAATAGTCTGAGTTTCTGGTATGAGTAAGACTAATAGCTAGACTTAGTTTCAGTATGCATTCTGCTACCTCCATGGTAGCAGAGGCTGACAGGTGTTCCTAGTGTGCAGTTAGCAAGGTGGCTTTCATTTTTTATTTTGGGGGAAAGTCATTGCAGGGATGTTGATGTACAACACTGCAGGGCAGGACTCCACAATGCAACCCAGAACTTTGGTCACAGCCTTGCCCTTTTTAATCTCTCTGAGGTGGTTACACTGGGCTCCTGGCTCGAAGCAGTGACGTGCTACATTTAATGCCACTCACTGTGCACTGCAGTAAGGGGCCGCTACCAAGGGCAAGCTCCTAATCCATTCTGTAAAGCCCTGGGAGCATGCAAAAAGTTTCAGAAAACAGTTGGTTGCCTGTTCTTCCTTCATCTGCTGAAAGGATTTGTACGTACTCCCTTCCACTCAAATAGAAGTCAATGCATGACAGGCCCCTACACACAGAGAGATCTTGAGGTTCTGTAATTCAAGGGTATAAAAGAGTGTGCAAGTTCAAAAGCTGTAAGGCAGCATGTCCAACAATTCACAGGTCCATGAAAATTAATCATTTAATCAAGATTTTCACAGTAGCTTTATGAGCAGTATTTTGATTTGCTGTGAAGGAAAGAGGCATGTGAAGGGTTTAGTTGCTCAGCCTGGAGCCAGACTCTGCTTACCTGGGTGAAGAACTAATACTTGTCACTGTTTTCTCTGAACACTGAAGTCTATTTTTATTTCTCATGTGATAATAGTGCACAATGGTGTCTCCGGTGTGCCTTCCACTTAATGTATTATCTACTGCTGTCAACTTAAAAAAGCCTAGGACAAAGCTCATAGTTTCTTTTGCAGCTCTTATCCTCAGGGCTTATGAAGTAAATCAGTACGTGGCTCTGCGCCTCCAACCAATTTCAGCATTAAGAGCAAATAGATAGTATAGCTAATTCTTTCCTTCTATGTACCAAGTTACAGTCAGAGTCAACTCACTGGTGTGAAGTTTTCTGTTTTCTGCTATCAAAACAGAAAATGAGAGAGGAATAGAGCTACCCATATAGCATGCATCTTGGAGAAACTAAAGACATGCTGCACTTTTGTTGTTCCTTATCGAACACAGCAGTAATAAAGAGGCTTATTTAATTGTGAAAAGACAACATTTGAAGAGGTATCCTGTTGCTATGAGGAAGCTTGCTTTTGTGCAGTGTATTTCTTTCAAAGTAGAGTCTCTAAGTGCCTTGCAGTATTAAATACATCAGCCGAAGAACTAAATAATAAATAAGGGCAGGGGAAGACAGACCTTTTATAAAAGCTTGCTCTGTCTCTAAGTGGTCATTTCTTTTGTTTTTAAAGAGGATGTACACTCCTCCCTCCCTGCCCCCCCCCTCAAAAAACCTCTCAAATTGCTTGATGATAAATATTACACCTATTTATACACTCCATTTCTCCGCATATAAGTGCACACAATAAGAGGAGGTGTGGATGTTCAGGAAGTCAGTTTAGACATGGATGATTTCCTTGGGTTTTACTTGCCTTAATTGTGTGACTCTTCCAGCGACCAGTTTCTGTAGCAACTGCCACCTCACTAAAATTATGCTGTCTCACTGTCACTGGACAATGTTCAGAAGGTACACACATTTAACAAAGACAGGGAAGACCTTCCATGTGATGTTTGTGGGCTTTCCTCAGAGTACCTCCACTCTTGGAGCACCTACACGTGCTGTGTTTTTACAGGCACTGGAGTTCAGCAGCCTGGTCTGCTGACAGTGACTTTCCTTCTTGTTTAATCATGCACTGCTTGCAGCCTTCCAGCTTCCAAACCCTATGGTGGTTTAAATTGGATATTAAGAAAAATTTTTTCACTGGAAGTATTATTAAGCATTTGAACAGGCTTCCCAGAGAAGTGGTTGATTCATTATCCCTGGAGGTATTTTAAAAATGTGTCAGACGCAGCACTAAGGGACAGGGTTTAGTGGTGAAATCGGCATTGTTAGGTCTGTGGTTGGACTCGATGATCTTGAAGGTCTTTTCTAACCTAAATGATTCTATTATTCCTTTCTATGATTCTGTGGCACCCTATTGCTGTCCATCACCCTGTTGTCTCAAGGCAGGTAGAGGGACCTGTTGTGCCGCTTTGCTGCAGTAACTCCAGGTCAGTTCTACAGTACCTGGCTTTGGGATTTTCAGTTATGTTGTTGTAAAGCAAGGAATTGAACTGCAGGTTGTAAAATCTACCCATGGAGCAGCATAAATACAGACTGCAGATGAGCCCCAGCCTTGCACAGCTATGCATAATCAGTCCCTGAACTAGTCAGGGTGTACCTCCACAAGACAGTACTCTTGTGGGGAGTCTAGTATGCAAAATCCTTGCTTTTCATGAGGTACACACTGCAATGGGAGATGTTCAAATAATCTCCACGTAGTGCATCACAACTGAGTTCAAAGCTGAGTTTTAAAACAGATCAATTTGAGAGCATTTATTCACATGAGAAACTGAGTGAAAATAGTGGTTCTAATTATCTGTTTAATTTTTGAGATATCCATCTAGAAAGTAACACCTCTCTCATACAGCTTGAGAATTCATGTGTCCTGTGCCTTTACCCAGGAACACCCACAAACCAGGAGGGGTGGATTTGAGTTTCAGGGCATCCATTCTCTTCTCCTTCCACTGGTGTGGTATCCTTACAGCAAAGGCAACAGTGGAAACGGAGACCTCTTGCTTATACAACTTTGCTTCTCTAGAAGCTCATGAGGGTATTTACATATGACATTGTGTGACAGCTGAATAATGCTTTTAATAAAAACATAACTCAGTGTCATCAGCCTGGTAACTCTGCTTTTCATAACATGCTTTATCAATGTCAGGAAGCTGTCAAAAGCTATAAATGGCACTGAAGGAAAGTGCTAATGTCGTTTCCCCAAGTCTCTGATCTACATAATGGGAAAATATTAACACGGAGATATTAAACACAAGATACTTCTGGTTCTAAATGTGCAGGGATTTTAACTCAACTGAATTGTTTAGAGAACATGGACAGATTTTTCAGCCAGCATGAATCAGTGTAGTTTATATTGACTTCAGCTTAAACAAGCTGACTTCTCCTGGGGATGCAATACAAATATTGACAAATCTGCTGTTACTCATTGGAAATAGTGAGTTGGGCAGAAACAGATTCAGCATGTGGCCACACAAGGCCAATTCAGTCTCAGCTGGGTTTTGAATTGGAGGCAATATTAGAGGACTGGTTAAGTCGTTCTCCAGAAAGCCCTAGAGCAAGTCAGGGTGCTGTGAGGACCTCGGTGCTCCTCCATGGCAGCATGGCCAGCAAAGCAGAGCCCTCACCCATAAGGGGCCAAGGATGCTAAGAAGCCAGGGCAGGATCAGGTCCAGGGCAGTAATTGGCATCAGACACAGCTGGGTGGTCACCAAGCAAGTCCACAGCAGCAAGACACACACGTACAAGGGAAAGTCAGGAAGCTGAGCCAGTGGAGCTGGATCAGGGCCAGAATCACAGCAGCCGGAGCCAGGGCACAGTCAGCACTGCAGCACAGCAGCAATGTAGCACAGGTGGGGGCCAGGGGTACAGCAGGAGGAGTAGGCCTTTGCTTCCGTGTTTCTTCACCACAGCTCTTATCAGCAGAGGCATTGACCTTGGACATAGCCAGCTATGCTCTAGAAGGGGATTTGCCCAGAGTCCTGGCAAGGAGGAGGTTCAGTTTTTCCATCCCTGTTTAGAATCATAATTTTCCTCACCTTCTCCTAATCTCCTTGGACAAATAGCAGTCAGGAGAGAACTAATTGTTGACTGAGTTCACAATAAAAGAAGAAAGCAAGTGTATTTTAATTTTAAAAATACATCTAGAGGATTACAAAACAGCTTCAGATAGCAGTAGAGCTTTTTAACATTCTGTTTGCTCTTTGCAGGGGGTATGAAAACCCAGGGGGTTATCCTTGTAGAGAAAGTAATCCATTTAGAGGAACTGGTCCATCCTTGGTGAAAAATCACACAAAGTACATGTTATTGCTACTATTGCTCCCACTACTAAACATATCTGCCACTTTGGAGGGGCTGGGCTGTTAATGTGACTTTAATGCCAAGTAAGGACAGGCATCCCAGGTAGGCTTGAAGTGGATGGGCAGCCCAGTGGCTTCCCTCACCCCTTTGAAGGTCCCTGCACAGAGACTCCCAGGAACAGCTCTGCACAACAGTGCTGGGTCTGGATCCAGCAGCACTGTATAAAAGTGCATATGGAGCAAGCTCTCCTTCCCCATTCTTCTCTACAAATGCTGACACATCTGGAAAGAAAAAAATACTGATTCATGTGGGTGCTTTCATTTTATTCATTTTATTGATTTTATGCTATTTACAGGCATAAGTGTGTGTGGTGATAGGAAAGTAACGGTGAAGGTAGCAGACACATTGAGAGCCAGAGAGGGCCCAATTATAGTATTACATATGCTGATTTTTCAGTGTTTGTCACATGACTTAAATATCAGCAATTTGGAGGTGAGCAGTCACATGCTGTAAATGAGATGGAGCACAAGTTTGGTTTGAAGAAAGGAAAAATTAGAGAGTATTCAGAATCAGACAGGGAGATCTGACTCAGAGATTAATTCTGATGCTTCATGGGACTCCTCACTGGTGGAATAGCTTCTCAGTGTCTGCCTTAGGAAGAGGGAGCAACCTGCCTGCTTGTGGAGGCCAGCGATTCCCTCCTGAACCAGCAGGAATCTAGTATCTCTTATCTGCTTCTAAGGATGGAAAGAGACATTTACAGGGACCTGATCCCACCAGAGAGCAGTTTTTCAGACATGGTGCCCTGAAGAGCTTCAGGGACTCCTGCAGGAGAAAGCAGACAGGGCCCTAGGGGTGTATGGAGCTGAATGCCCAAGTGAGTGTTTGAAGTAACCACTGTCAGAGAATCTGGATCCAAAATGATTGAATGCCCAGGGCTCTTCTTTTCTAGATGCATCATGGTTTGTGATGGAATGGGAGATTGGGAAAATTAGGGACATTTTTCCCCCATCCTCATTCCACACATTGCTAAGATCCAACAGATGCCTCATAAACAGCTCTTTCTCAGCACCAGCTGGTACAACCTCAAGCCTGGATGTTGCTGTTCAATCTGTGTACGTCAAGACCAATATTTGGTACATGCTGGCTTTTTATATGGGATAGGAAGTAACTGCAAAGTTTTAGGTGTAAAATAATACAACTCAGGAATATTTCAGGAAACCTGAAAAGTTACATGAAACGATCAGTGCAAGAGCGTCCAATCATTCGGCTTTCAGAAATTCACTGAGTTAGACCTGCATTTCTGTGTGCAAAGCTTAAAAACATGACTATGTATATTTACTGATCTAGCAGTTGGAAAATTGCTGTGGGAAATTAGCAGTTTGAACTTTTTTGAATTCTCACATATTGGTTGCTCTAAGAAAGGTTCAGGTATGGCAAAGAGGCTTGTCACTGCTGCAGTCTCACATACAGAATACATGAAGAAAAATGAGGCAAAAGTGTGTGTGTAAGAAATTTTTCACAATTAGGTAACCTCGAAAGAGACTATGTTGGCCCTGATTTTACCAGAATGGAGGATCAAATGGGTTTAATGAAAGGTAAATAATTCACAATAATTGTCTCCCGTGTTTTCATCTTCCCCCAGAAGAGAAGTTTTCCCAACCCATAGCAGGAAATAATGGTCCAAGAGAGAAGAAGCAGATAGGGAAAAGCAAAGCTCTTGTAGATAAAGCCGTTGTAAATGTTGCTGTGGCCTGCAGTGGGATACTTCTCTGCAAAACTTTGAGAGCTAATCTGTCCAAGAGTTCACCTTGATTAAGTCATGGGGAATTCCAAAGTAATCAGCTCCTGATTAAATTCAGAGGAGTTGGATAATCTGATGCTTTGTACTCGATCTATTCTACTCTGGGTATCCTGCTTGCCTTACTCTGTGTTACAGGAAGCTAAGTTTGTTTCCTCAAACTGATGGAAAGAGGACTGACATGGGATGGAGGCAGATCACGTGGAAAAGACTTCAGGGACAAAATGCCAGGCCACCCAGCTCTTTATCTGAAGAGAGCTAAAAGAAGAAGGCATCCTAGGCAAATGATTACTAAGCAGTAACAATGCATTCGAGCCACAAAAAATAAGTGACTGCAGGGATCCCTTGCTTCACTTGACCTAAATACACACATATTTCTTCTTTGAATATTTTATAGTGCTCTGGCTTGTAGCTTGCATTCCACTTCCATGCCTTGGTTTGAATGTTGTTTTCCTGTGTCATTTGGAAAAGTCTCAAGAGAGAAAAGATAAGAAAACCATTTTTAAAAGAAAGAAAAATTAACAAAATGGGCATTTCCAACCCTAGTATCTGGGGCAACAGATGGGATGGTGAAAAATACGCCTGCAGGGCAAAGTTCTGCTCCAATCACTTTTGTGCCCACAGCGGACAGTTTTAATTTAAAGCACTGTGGATTATGCGCTATGGAGCTACACTTTGTTAATTTATTATCCTTCATGTTAATCCGGTGTATAAATCATGACAACAGGCAAGTGTGTAGCAAAAGGTGTAGACTGCTCTGTCCTAGCAAGCAAGCAGACTTAGAAAATGTGGGAGTTTTTTAAACTGACATGTAAAGTTTTCTTCATATTTGAACCTCCTAATCTGTGTTAAAATATCCCATGAGCCCACTACCAGTCTTCTAGAGAAAAGATAGAAACTACCGTATATAAAGTGGGGGGAGGGAAAGTTTGATAAATAAAACTATTTTCAGTATCTAGTCTCTAAGAATTTATTAGGATGAGGTAAAGAAAATGATTCAGAATTTTTGGCTGGCCACTTTGTGATAACACTGAGTCAAAAATAGAAGGTTTTTCTGTTGTTGTTGTTTTAATAACTCTATGCTGTGTTGGTATGCACAGTGATGAAGCCTTCCCTTTCCCATTCAACACACATGAAACCACGCACATGCATGAAACCAGCATCTCCATCATGAGTTTCATTTCTTTCTGGATTAGGTTTCTGCCATGTACCAGTTGGCTCACCTCTTTAGGAGCATTAATCACTTATATTAAGCAGATAAAACAGGCAGTGTGAATTCCCCTTGAGTAGTTCCCTATCTGAGTATTGTCTGTGAGCATTCACATTTTTTGCATTTGAGCAGGACTCTTACCTCTGATTTCAAGCCAGGTATGTCTTCATATATGGCAAAGTGGCCTGGAGATCACATGAGTATCTCAGAAAAGTGTACAAAACTTGTTCTCCTAGATGCCTACTTGCAGCTACTGGAACTGTGGAATGATACAACAATATGTAAATTACTTACTGGATCTACAGTTAAAATGATACTGTAAGAAAACACTGCCTTGCTGGGGGAACAGTTCCTGGATGTTTCCTGCAATATGTGAGGAATCAAAAGGAATCACCAAGGACTGCAGAACCATCTTTGTGTACAACTCACGTGCAGCCACGTGTAGCTGAATTTCTTTCAGCTTATATAGAGTGTTGGTTGTGTCCACCTATAGAAGGATTTATCATCCACACATATGGTGTCCACCTATGGGTGAACAAATGATCATGCATATTTAAAAGGCTTTTTCATTTGGGGAAGATGAAAACAGGAGCTCCTGCAGCAGAGTATGCACAAAGGAAGTATTTCACAGAGGTATCAATCAATAAATGAGGAATTGCTTTGGGCATATTTCAACCATAGCAACTGTGCTCATCTGAGAGGAAGACTTTGATCCACATCAGTGAAAAGTGGCATGCAGAAAGTATGTGGGAGGCATACGGGAAGGATGGGTGAGGCATGTAGTAGAGAGCAAAATAATTAGAGAATGAGAAGTGTTCAAGGATGCTTGTATATGATTAAAGTAATAAAAACAATAATAATAAAAAAAATTAAAAGACCCTGCTTACACATAAAACTTACTAGCTATTCTAGGGAAAGTGGGATAATGAGTAAAGTGCAGCATAAGTGGTCAAAGATGCCTAAAAAATGGGGTTTATTTCTGGACTTCAAGCACCGCTGGTATAATGCATACAAAACCATTTGACTGTCTTGGACAATGTGCTAGAATTCCCAAGCCTAATGATTTGAAAAATCACTTGCTTCTTCATTGCTAAAATCTCAGCCCATTACAATTAATCACCTGCTTGCATGTTGCCAGATGCAGACATTCCTTTATATCCCAATAATAACTTTCTACTATTTTTCTTCAGATAACAGGCAAGCAATAAATAGATGATACACCTATCCACAGGTTGCTGACTGATTTAACTAGGTTCTAGGTTAAAAAATTAGAAGATTGCATTGCCAGTAAGTCTTTACCCTGCATTCCCCTGCAGATGTTTGGAGCAAGAGTAACATCCAGTGGTCAAAATGTTAATTGCATTATATTTGGGCATTGCATGCTGGCAGAATCTTAACTGCCGCATCTTTCTTGCAACAAAAAAGCCGGTGAGTGCAAGCCTTGAAGACTTGGAGATCATGCTTACATTGCACAAAGTAAACTACGTGGAGTAACACATCAGTATTCCTACAAGGTTGGTGTGTTTTTCCTGCTCGTGCCAAGTGAGATGTACTGACCTTTAAGTTTGTAAATGCTAAGACTGAGGACTTTCTGGATGGATAAATGCACCTGCACACAGATACCATGCACCAGGCCATATTCTAAGGAAAGAGGGAGGAAGGGGAATGGGAGGAATGTGCTATAACCTTGGTCTGATGTCTGTGGAACAAAGCCCTGAGCACAGGGTAGTGCAGACTTGTCCCTTGCTCAGGAACCTCAGGCACCAGGTACAGCTGAAAACAGCAGAACTCTGTCCTGGAAATAGGATGTCAGCACTGCAGGGAGGCATAGGTGGAGTTTGACTCCTACAGTCAGGGTGGTAGGAGAGGGGATGTCCTTAGAGGAGGCTGAGACCTATCTGATTATTGGTGAAGGCACAGAGTTTGAGCCGTGGGAGGTGGAATCTGCCTTCCTCCTCCTCAAATGCTCTTTATCATCACCTGGCCTGAGCTGTGAGAAATAGGGTCAAAATAGGAGTCCCACACTGAGAGGACAAGCCTTGCTTGTGCTTTGTGGACTATAAGAAACAAGTGCCCTCAGATAAAGACTCTGCATATGCTCAAGGGCATGAAGAAAGGAGGTGAGTTTCTACTCTCAGCCAGGAGAAGCAGCTTAATTAATATCACAGCAAGTTAGGGAGCTGCCAGGTGTTCGTGGGGGAGCAGTAGGTTTAATCTTCCCAGCAACACAGAACATTACCAACCAAAGAGCAGGGAGCACCTTGTCTGGTCAGGAAAAAAAGACCGTGAAGACAAGAGCATGAGACCAGGATGTCAGAAATCTATCAGGTGGTAGCTAAAGTTAGACATTTAGGGCTAATTTTTCCCTGGAACTGCAATAAGGGATAAAAATAATAATAATTAAAAATAGGTTTTAGGACGTCTAATGTTCACATCCTTGTGCTGTGTCAGCACAGATGAAGAATTGCAGGACCGAACCTGGATGCAACTTTGCAGCTTTATAAGTGTGCCTATAAACTCTGCCTTTCATGGACAAGGTGCTCTGGTCTCCCCAGCACCAGCAAAATTGTTTTGCTGCACTCCTGTGGTCTTTCAGTGCACCATTGCTCTGTGACCTTCAGGCCATAAAACTTTTCTGGGGCAGTTAATGATTCTCCCTGCTCCCAGACAAACATTAGCCAAGGTAGAGGGGAACCAGCTGCAAGGTCTGTCTCACTTACTTTTCTTTCTTTATTAACGGCAGAAACTTTGCAGCTTTCGTGCACAACCATGATACCCCCAAGTGCTGCAAAGAGGAATTCTCCCTCATCATCTTTCCTATTGTGAATGTCTCCCCCCAAAACACTGTGAAAAGGTCAGACACTGAGGCATATAGAGGGAGAGTTCGTCCCAAGGGCAAGTATGTTATTCGGATTCCAGGCTGCCTCACATGCCTGTGTGGACATACTTTCAAAACTATTTCTGTCAGGTTCATACTATCTAACATGAAACAAAGCATCTCCATGAACAACAATATTTTACAGAAGAGCTTCTCACTGCTTCCCTAGGAACACATTGGGGATTTTCCACCTCAAATGTGTTCAGTGCAGCGGTGCTCTCTATGTTGTGCTGTGCTCTGCATGCCACACGATTGCTCAGCAAGTCTTGATGGAATACATGGCACAAGTAACTTCACTCCAGTTTTTGGAACAAACTGAAGGGTTCTTTTCTCCCCACCCCACCCAATTGCTCAGCAATCTTGATGGGATACATGCAACAAGTAACTTCACTCTAGTTTTTGGGACAAACTGAAGGGCTCTTTTCTCCCCACCCAACTGCTCAGCTAGGCTGTGACACTTTCAAACTGCCAGCAGACAGCTATAGGATGGCAGGTCTTCATGCTGTAATGGTGTTAGGGCACTAGATGCCATTGCTGGTGTCTCCAGATCTCTCAGGTGTTTTCTCCAAGGGAGAATGAAGGCCACAGAGCAGGTAGATGTAGAGTACAGGGTCATGTGAACCTCTGACACATAGGCTAATCCTCACTGTGTGGGAGCCCAAAGCACCATAACATCTTCTGTCTGATGCATGTTAACAAAGCTGCCATTGCTGCTCTTATCCTGAGATAAGAGTACCCCCTCCTCTCCTGCAGAAAGCAAAGAAGCCTTCTACTGTCTCACAGAGCAAAACTTGTTTAACTCTCATCTCTGAAGACAAGACTGAAAGCACCTGGGAAAATGAGATGTACACAGCATCTATTAACTAGAAGATTAAGGCTACAGAGCAGTACCTATTTCAGATCATAATTGTGCTCTGCATCCTGCACAACACATAGGAAAGCAAAGAAAAGAACTTTGCCGTGGCTGGGATGTAAAGGCTCAGTGACCTTCTAGAGGTTTTGATGTCCCCTCTGAAAACCTTACCATGTGGGACACATTATATGGAATGCATACATCCTATGGTGCACCACATTTGACTGTATTAGGAACCAGCAGTGGGGCCTGTTGTGCTTTTTGTGGCCCGTGAATATTGTCCCTGAGCTGGGGAACGAGGCCAAGGTGCATTCATAATCCATACAAAGGCTATCCTGAAAATGCTTTGTGAACGCTCCATGAGAAACCCATAGTGTTCATAAAAATATTCCTATGCTTAAACAGAATCCAACTGCAGTATACCTAAAGCACACCTACTAAAAAAGCAGCAAATGTGCAAACACTGATAACATGTACACTATGGAGACATTTAAATTAATGAATAAAAGTGATTTACACTGAGACAATGGAAGTTTGGGAAAGGGCTGACAGCTGCAGTGGACACGTTTTCTCTCCGACGCTGTGCAGGGATCTCTTCTGCTTGGAGCAGCACAGCTCTGAGAGATAGCAAGGTAAGAAGTTGGCTCATTCCAGGTTGCTTAGTTTCTGTGGTAACAATGCTAAAAATCACATCACATCCCATTCTGGAAAGCCATGTCCCAAGGACACTGCACATATATGCAAGACCCTAGAGGCAGTGAGTCCTTTTCAGACATTCCTCTCAGGTTTCATGGTATGCTGATACAGGAAAGCACCCTGGCATGAAGATCTGGTATCTAATGGGCTGCATTCTGGCTGCCTACAGCTTTACATTTTATTGATTCTTGGCAGAGGCTGCACTGGTTCTGTGGCTACAGAACTAGAAGTCTAATTAGAAGCATAAGCAAGGGAGGTCTAGGGGATCATCTGGGTGACAACTGCTTATGAAGGCAGGCAAATGGGTTCTAGGTGTTTGTACTCTGCAAGCTTTCTTGTCTATTAGACAACATGTTCTGAACCATATAACAACCAACACATGAAGTACACTCGTGAACAGTCAGAACCAGGCACAGTGCAGTGTCAGTGCTCATCACACCGCTGCCTCCTGCCAGTGTGCTCAGCCAAGGGCAACACAGGCATCTCTCCCCATCTGGCAAAAGGGAATATCTGTCTATCAGTAATGAGAGCACCTCGCTAGAGCCCTCTCTGAGTCTGAAATACATTTTATCTCCCCTGTGGCCATGATTAGATTCCTCATACAGTCATCAGTTCTGCTCTGCAAGCAGTTCCAGGGTCAGAGGGGTTTGTTGCTTTGCTTTGCAATGTGGTCCTTCCTTGCACTTTGCTTATTACCACAATAAGAACAACCGTAAATGTGATGCTACGTAAGAAAGGTTGTACTATAAAAAGCTTCTTAGTGAAATAATATTTTCACAGAAAGCAAAACAACTTGCTATGATTTGTGAAAATAATAAATTAACCCAGGCTTTCTATGCTGATTTTTTCTATGCTAATTCCCAGCACAGCCAAATAGCACAATTCACAGCTCTTTTGTCTGTAAGCACATTTCAAGGCCATTTAAGTAGAATGAGGTGTGGGTGCGTAGGCTGATTTGTTTAGTGTTTCCCAGCTGGTCCCATCCTCCTTTCTGTCCTTGAGTTTCTCAGCTATGTCTGAGATAAAGTGTGGTTTCACTCTGGGGTCTCATGCCAAAGTCCTGCTGCAGGGCAGCAAGGGCTGGTTTTGTCTACTACACCTCTGAAAGCCATTTTCCAGACTTGTCTTAGGCACCTGCAAATGTAACCAGAATAACCTGGGAGTGCAAAGTGATGCAGGAAAATGCTTGTAGTCGAACCAAATATTGTGATTTAGAGGTGCAAGGTAAGTGTTTCTCCAATGTAAAATTATTCCCAAACCAAAGAGCAATAAAATCTTTTGTCAGGTCTTCAATTCCACTGATGTCAGACACTGTTTGCACATACCCTTGCCTCTGAAATGCAGAAGTCTTTGGCCCATACAAAGGAGGTTTAAAGGTAAGGTCCCGGCCTGCAGGTGGGGCATTAGAACCATTGCATAATAGGTCCTCCTCACACCTTCAAATTCCTGCATATCCTAAACACATCTGCAAAATAGAGCCCCCACCTCTCCTACCCCACACTGGAGAGCAGCTGCAGTTTGTTGGGAAATATACTACAATTAATACTACAGAAAGAAGAGCAGGAGGAGAAACACTAGCTGCAAACATTAAAAATACTTTCCTGAAATAGATACTTTATCTAAAAACCTTGAGAGTAACATTTTATTTCTCTAAAGTTTAAATTTGTCACTAAAGTAGTCATGGGAATGCAGCACAAAAATTCTGTCACTGCTTGTGATTCAAAACAAAGTGTAGTTGTTCAAAATCTTTGAACCACTCCAGGATTTATAATACTTGTAAAGCTGGTTTAACTAGACTGGCAGAAGGTCAAGGTCTTGCTTTTAGAACTCAAATTTGAGTGTTACCCTGAACAAAGGCGTTCCTTTGAGAAAGAAGACCCTGTAGTGCAGACTAAGGCTGTTGCTTTTCTTTTTACAAGGAGACACTTTGTGACTGTGTGTTCTGTTAAATGTACCTGAGAGGATTTCATACACTTCTAGTTTCCAGGTCATCTCTTCCTCAGGAAAAAGGAATTAAGGGGCAGGGGACTTATGGCAGAGGCTGATAAAATCATGGTTGATGCAGAACATAAAAGCAGATAACTTTCTTTAAGAACACAAAAAATCACAAGGCATGAAACAAAACAGTTAAAACAAGGGAAAGTACTTCTTAGTGCCATACAGCATTAAGCTGTAAAGCTCCTCGTTACAGGACACCAGGAGTCTAGGAAGTGCTTATAAGTTCAGGGAAGAATTGGACAAAAAAAAGGAAGAAAAAGCCATCAAATACTGTTTAGTTTGAATCACCCCTTCTATCTAAGGTGGTCCCAAGGTGCAAATGTCTGTAGACCAGAAAAGTACTTCACATAGTATCTAAGTTTTTTTCCTGGGTTTATATTCTTCCTCTAGTACCTGCTATTGTTCAGTGCTTTGCTTTATGTAAAAAAGGGATGGAGATGAGGAACAACAAATCAAACATATAAAATTATAGAATTGCAGAGCTCGAACATGAGTACCCTCAACAATAGCTGCTGCTCCCTGCCAGTGAGCAGCTGAGAACTACCCCTTGGTGTACTGGCCACTGTTGACAGTTTCCCCTTTTAGGATGTCCAGCCCTAAAAATATTAAATGCCCTCTTCTCATCTCATTCTGCCCAAAAAAAGGGAATGCTGAATCGTGGCAATGCATAGTAGATGACAAACACTGGGAAATCTTTTATTTCCTTTCTCCTTTTTATTTTCTTAATTCACTGAAATATCCTCATTTCCTGAAATATGCAGCTATGACTCCCAGTAATTGAAATTTTTTAATTGCGGTTTGGGCTTTTTAGAAAGAGAGAATAAAGATTCATGTTAATTGTCTGCATGTTTCCCCATCCCAACCTCTACCTTGTTGCTGTGTTCATGGAGACCTGGGGCTGAGAAGGAAGGTAAGTAGGGATGGGATATTTTCGTTGTCATATATACAAGGTATGTTGTCTGTATCTTTAAAAGAGGGAAAGGACTAATCTAAGTGCCATTAAAATTTCTACGATTCTATTACCCTTTGCTAACCTTATACCCTTTCCAAGACTAGTCCCTATTTGTTTCACAGAACAGTGCTACTCGAGAGTGGCTGGAGCAGGAAACTGGTGTGCTCCCCTCCCTGCAGCACCAGCTCAATCACATCTGTCAGCATTGCAGAGGTACCCTCAGACCATGCAAGACCCTTATCGTACATAATCTTGATCCTAAGACTAAATTACACGACAACTGGTAGCCCAGTCTTTCAGGTCCTTGTGAGTATCTCCAAGAGCAGAATTTAAGTATTTGAACCACCTATGGGACCGAGCTCTGGAGAAGGGATTTGTGAATTTTCCATGCTTGGTTCAAGATGACTGTGAAAAGCACACAGTGTATTTTATCAGACTGGTCATTTCAGCTGGTCTCTCTCAGTTGCCACAGATGTGGTTACTCTCCCTGTTCTCCAGAGTCGTTCACAGCTGGTTTGTCACATGCTCAGGGAACCTCCCCACCGTAGAGATGCCACGTGTGCAGAGAACATTCCCCAGCTTCTCCCTCAGTGTGGGCAGATGTTGAAGCTGGCAGAAAAGCAGACCAAAGGCCTGTTTTTCTAGCTATCAGAGGGTGGTTATTATCTTCGCTCATATTCCTGCAGAGATGGAACACAGCCCCTCCACAACCTTTGTCGTTTCTCAGGGACCTGCTTCCTATCACAGCTCTGGTGGTGCTTAAGCAAGATGTAGCTCCAGGCAGATTTTGGCTCAGGATCTATTTTTGGCCCTGCTCCTTTTCAAGAATATAATCTGCTAAATTAAATCTAACATTTTCTCCCGAATAAACAAACCACTACATTTTTGCCTTTTGCTCCAAACATACCTTTTAATTATAAGGGAAGAGGGCTTGGCAAGTCCAGCTAAAGATGGACCCCTGAGTAAACAAACAAGCAAGTAAGTAAAAGAGCTCTTCATGAGGTTATCTTTAGAGAAAGGACTATTTTTAATCTAATTTTGAGATCTAGTTTATGTATAAGGTACCAAAATAGCAGAGCAGGAAATAATGAATATTCTGAGGCTAGGAATACCACACTCAGAAATTAAAATTTGTAACAAAAATGCAGCAGGGGGAAACTTCAAAGGATCTAATGAAGTCCACCACACAAGCCCCCAGTCTTTGAAATGCCACCAGATCAATACCTGTGTGAGAAGAACAACAGTGTTGCCTGAGAGCATTGTGATTTTTCCAGGTTCACTCTTTTTTTCTCTCCCCCCAAGAAAACCAGATGTAAATACAGATATTTTTTGCTTTAAATAACTCTTACAAGCCAATGAGATTTGCTTTGCATTTTTGAAATTCTGTAGAATGTGTTCCAATATTTAGTGTTTTCTTTAAAGCTTCCAGGAATTATTTGGTTGTGAGGAATTTAAACCTTTGGTTTACAATAGCATTTTAGCGAAAATATCTCCTTCGCATTTGAGAAAACCTGAAAATGAAAACTTTCAGCCACTAGAGTTAATTATTTTAAATTCTATAGTCAGATAAAGACACACTATCTCCTTTTATCCCTCAAAATGTATGTGCTGATTTTTGGAGCAATGGGTCTGGGGGTTCAACCATATTTTATTTGAATTTAAAACTAAGTTATTTACAAATCCTATTTGAAAATTACTTTACACTTTTACAACAGAAGAATCTATTAAAAATAATTAAATAAGAAGAATGTTTTACAAAATAATGAAAATTACAGTTTCAAACGTGTTGCAGAGTCTATGATATAATTCTTCCAATATGTATTGCAAAGTACTGAATGATTTTCAAAGGCAATAAAAACTCAATAGATCTGCCATTATAAGGAACAATATTTTCCTATTTTAGAGAATAATATTCCCAGCTTTTTCATCAGACCCTTGTTTGAAAAGTCATTTTAGCAGTTTAAGCTGAATCCTGAACACTACTGACTTGGCCAGGCTCAGTCCTTTTTGGAAAAATAAACCAAGTCATCACTGACTCCAGTTGCCATCATTTTGCCAAACCACTCACTGGGAAAAATCATGGCAGTGGTTCCAGTTAAGTTGTTTTTTGTTAATTGTTCAAATTAAAATATTTGTGTTGCATGGGTAAGACTTTTTGTTTTGTAAAATAGGTAAAAGCATCCAAATGGATAATTATGCTCTCCTGATCATTGATGCAGCAGCAGAAGAGGAAAGGAGAAAAATATTTTGTGATACTCTGAAATGCTAAGGTAGAATTGGTACAGTCAGTCACAAGATGAACCAAAACTTAACACAAGCTACTTTACAGTGTGAAACAATCAGTGCTTTAAAATGCTGGGCTTTGTGTGAAAGAGAAACAAGGAGAAAACAGCACTGAAGCTCTTTCTGAAACACTTCCAGTAGAGATGACTCTCTAATTTTGCCTGCCAGAGATAAGAAAGTATTTAATGACTTAATTAACCACCCTTCCCATGAAAACTATCACATTGCAAAATTTCCATGGCCACCTATGAAGTGTTCCCCAGGGCTCCCAGGAGCGGTGGCAGCGGGGCTGGGAGCCCTGGAACCCTGTCCAGCCCTTCCAGGCCAGGAAGGGGCAGGCAGCCAGAGACAGCATGGGGGAGCAGGCAGCAAAGCGAAGGGAGAGCCCTGCGGGGAGCAAGGGTGGCAGGGAGAAAGGATGGGGAAATGTAGCAAGTTCAAATGCATAAATAAATTACATGGGCAGATATAAGGGGGGGAGTGCAGGCACCACACTGCAGTTGATGTCACTCCAGTTCCTTGTTTACTCTTTCATTTACCTTATTGCTGAGAGTATGCAATTGCTTTTATTACAGCACTTGAAATAACTGGAAAAATAAGCAGCTTTGTGATTCAGAATAATCCTTCCCTCACTCAAATATTATCCCTATCATATTTCCACAGTACTAGAGCTCTGACACTGCTACCACTGGAACTCCATGTCTCAATACCTCCTCTGTCATTCATCCTCCCATCATTCCTGCTAACCCCCATGCCCTCCTTTTGAGGGGCCCCTCTGCCTCAGACCAAAGGTCTGCTGGCCCTGCACCACCTCAGAGGCATCTGAAGCAGCATCCACTGTCTCCAGCCCCACTGTGGCCCAGGTCGGATAGGGAAGGAACCACCTGCCAACATATGATGCACTCACCAGGACTAGAAGAGAGGAGTGAAAAATTTCAAGAGAAACAAAAAAATTTAAAAATCCCAGAGAAGATGAAGGGGATAAAAGCATTGAAGCCCTGAGGGCATCCACAGCCCTGCCCAGCCTTGTCAGCCATGCTGGGCTCCCCCCACCTGCCCAGGGCCCAGGACCCCCATCAGCCTGCCCCAGGCTACGAGCCACCACCCCCACAGCCCTCCAGCTCCCCACAGCCCTGCCCTGTTTGGCCATGGGTCCCACCAAGCCATGCCCATGTCCCAGCCTGTCCCCATCCCCAGGGAGGTGCCCACTGCCCAGGGCTGCCCTGGTACCCTCAGCACCCTGTTCCTGGCTGGGGCAGTGGGATGGGCCCAGCCTAGCAAGTGGGTGGGCTGTAAAGTCACCCAACAGGAGCACGGGAACCGACTACTGTGCTCACCATTTTCCTCTGGGATGTGAGGAAACCTGCCATCCAAGGGGCACTGAGGTGGCTGAGTCAAAGGAAGCCTTTGGCCCAGCCCTCCAGGACAATCTGAAATTCAAGAGCCAAGTTCCTGTCTTGCCTCTTCCCCACCTCCTATTGTTCCCAGTGTTTTCCTTTCTCTCTGAGCCCCTTCTCCCTTGGATCAAATCTGTCCTCTGGTGAAAACAAAGCTAAAATTCTGTCTCTTCTGGGTCCGTTTTTATTTCATGGAAACAGAATATCACATTAGCTACAGCAGTGGAGCCTTAGATGTTTTTTACTCTTTTCCTCCTTACGTAGCCTAAAGGAACGTTCGTTCACATCATTAACCACCCTAAAGGCTGTGCCAAAGGAGGTTTTAATGTTCTTTGTGGCTTGGAAGAAATTATATGATACTTTGTGCAAATGAAAGTGCTAGTAAATACTTCAGATGATCCATTCTAGATGCCTTTTGTATATTTACGGGCTTTTTAATAACAGGTTGAAGGTGCATAAGGATGGTTGTCACCCTAAGAATAAGCAGGCTCTCCTCTCCACATTCTCAATTCACAGTAAACACATTCAGCTGTGGCAGGATCATATTTCCACCCTAGATGCTGTAGCCCATTTATCCCATCAAAGTTAAGCCCGCAGAGCAAGCCTGTGAGATTCAGGAGGTACCATATTGAAGTCTGATAGAGGGTGTAAGAGCAAGGACACCTGAGAGAACACAAACACCTTCCCAATTAAGGGTCTGGACACCTCAGAAGAGGTTGCTGAAGGAACAGAAGAACAACGCTGCTCCTTTCTATCTCTTCTTCCTTGTGTGATTTGTTCCCATCTTTCATCAGCAGGATCTCTATTCCAAATATTTTTCTTCTTAACAACACCCTTTCCTTGGGCGTTTCTTCCCTAAAACCACATTGTTATTTCTTTGAGAACAAAAGCCCTTAACTTCTCTTGGCAGGATTAGGAAAGATGCAGCTTAAATTATCAAAAGTGATATTTCATTAATATGGCTAATATCAATTTCCCTATTCAACTATAATACAAGATAAGTTTCATTATTCTTCTAAGTCCACACAGTTTTCACAGATTCAAGTATGTAAATTAATTTGCAGTTTGGGTCTGTTCTTGTATTACACTTTCAGCCATAGCTGTGCTGACAGTCTGCTGATCAACCTATATTTCATATATCATCTTTAGAATGGCCTTGCTACTCTGTCACATTATTTATTTCTTTTTAAAATTTCCTGTTTCCCAGGAGAACGTGGAGCTTGGCTGTCTAGCCTTCCCTACGGTTCTTTCCCTTCCATGTTCATGTGCTCTAAAAGTAAACTTTTGCAATATTTAAAGCAAAGGTCTCAGAGAACAGACCACAGCCTCCTCACCAGCTCTAATTAATCCCTGGAGCAGATCACAGACTTCACAATAACGAGATGATAAGATTGAAGACCACACCTGGTGTGTACAAAGTTAAAAATGAACAAGCTGTGGAAAGGTGGTGGGTGTCTTTTATGACATCCAATCCTGGAGAGAATGTGGACAATTCTGTCAGCAGTTTTCCAGATATACCTTTAGGACTAACTTAAATTCTTTCCCTTTTTGTGCCTACGGGTATTGTATCAGTTCCCTTTGACACCCAAGCTCTAAAAAGCTCCAATAACTCTACAGAAAACTGCAGGGTGTAGTAGAGACATAGTTTTAACCAGTGCCTGCAGCTCAGCTTCCTCAGCAACTTATTTGTATGTGGTTCATCCCACAGCTGATATCTCAACACAGCTAAAGCTTCATCTTAGGCAGCTCTATTAGTTTCTAGCTCTACATGCTGTCAAGCATGTTCCAATCTGCTTCTCCCTTCCCAGCATATTGTGCCCCATTTCAAAGCTGATGTTTGTGGACAGAGAAGCCTTAAAAAAGATGAACTCAGAGCAGGATGTTCCCTGCAGAAATCAGAGGCAAAGGTTAAAGAAAAGGTAAGCTATAGTCCATACCTTGTTAAGACATAGTGTATTCAGGTTTTAAAAAAATGGTTTTGATGAGGCATGTAGTTTAAAAGTTGACCTGCTAGGCCAAAGGGCTTCCACACATCAAGAGATGTAGTTGACCTTGAGCTGTACACGCCATGAGAACCTCCCCAGCACTTCTAATTTTCTGAAGCTGGATAAATCCTCTCAGAAGTCTGTATTTGAAGAGGCTTTTGGCTTGGCACAATGATTTAATCACATTTCACAGACTTGACAGAATGTTCTGAGTTGGAAGGGACCCACAACCTTCATTGAGTCCAACTCTTAAGTGAATGGCCCATAAGGGGATCGAACCCACAACCTTGGTGTTATTAGCACCATGTTCTGACTAACTTTGCCCAGGTAAGTTTTATCTTCCATTTATTTGTGCAATATTTTAATGGCTTTGACTTTATGACTTTCAGGCATCTAAAGTGCTGCAGCAGATAGGAGCAATAATGTTTTTTATTAGAAAGCCTTGCCAATTTGGGTTTTGGGGTTTTATCAGACTTTTCCGGCTCCTGATTTGTGGTCCAGTGACTGAACTGTATGTCCAGTGCATTTTCTGATAGATTTTTTTTTTCCTTGGGTGAAAACAAGAGGACAAATTCATTGTGACAAATACTTTTGGTTTGTATCCAACCTGGGCCTTTGAGAGCCCACGTACAACCACAGTAATGTTCCTTTAGAAACATAACTCCTATGTAAGGGCACACTGAGTGCCCACCTGATTTATGAACCAGTCCCTTTATAAAGCAGGGACTGTACAGTGACCTACAGCTTCAAGCTGTAGGTCAGGGTTTATGCATACTTTTTTCACTAGAAATACTCTTCTTAAGCAGGATACCAGGCTGGCCTGATATCACAGTACCCTGGCTGCCACGGAGCTTGAGCTGATGGAGAGGAACCCAGTGCTGGGTGACTTCAGCTACCATTATTAATTTTGAAGGGTTTCCAGGCAAATTGTCTCCTACCTCACAGCTTCAAGGAGATATCTTAAGCCTCTAGTTTTATTCAGGCCTCCCTCTGGCCTCCACATTTACAAAAGCTTGCTGAGCTAATATTGTTACTTTATATATGGTAGCAAGTCCCTTTTCATGTAATTAAGAGATAATCAAAGAATCATCTCATTAGCATAGCTGCTACTCGTTGTCCAAACAAAATGAGTTGCACAATCAAACTACTTTTTTGGCTAACATAACCTCAAAAATTGCAAAGTTCCCCAGCCTTACTATATTAATTGGATATGTTATTTGTACATATCCCTAGCAGTACCATAACAGTGATAAACACACCAGTGCAGACCCAGACTTCAGGCAAGTCTTGCTGCATTTAGCAGAATGCCTGCAAATTGTCTGCAAATTCTTCCTGTTCATTATGGCAGATATTGTGTTGAAGAGAATAAGCACAAACTAGGCAAGTACATTAAGATTCATCTCTTTGTGCTTAACCTGGTACTGTAAATCATCAGGGGTTTTTTTTCCAGGGTTTTGGGTTTTTTTTCTTAAGATGCTAGCTAATACTCTCACACAAGAAGGTAACATGGTAAATTTTTCACGGGTGATAGTAAATCATGCTTTGCATTTATTGATTTTTTTTTCTTTTGGCAAATAGATGGTTTAAAGCAACTCATCTTTTTAGCATGGGTTAACATTTCACAAATATAGAAGTACGGAAATTCCCCTCTAACGGTCTACCTAAAAGAGAACAATTTAAAATCATTCAACTGAAGACAATAGCAAGTCTAAGATTAAAGCTGAGGTAACAACTGGAAATAAATTAATCAGCATGGTCAGCATATTCTTCAGCATTGCTGTGTAAGTAACACAGTTGTAGTAAACCTGGCTCTGGCATTTGCCAGTGTTCTTGTTGCTTTGTCCCATATTCTGTGGCAGTATTTGCTAGTAATGTATTAACAGAATTCACCTTCCCAAGGCATGGAAACGCTTTTTTTAGCTCCTGACATTATAGACGTATCTTGAATCAATAGAGCTGGCCACTTACTGCGAGAATCGGAAATACCATGGAAGGTAATTGCTTCACAGCAAATGACTTCACATAATTTGATAATAGCTAGGTCTCAGGCATTATTCTTGCTGTTAATCCACTGTCATTTATTGTCCATTTCTACTTCATTTATCATCACATTATTGTTCCAAGGTTTTTTGTGATCTTTGGTTCTCAGAGCCCAGCTGCACTTTTCATTGCTGGCAGTTCAAAAAAAAAAATAAATTTAAACAGTTGAAATGCTGTGCCCAATGAATATGTTTCATTTGTACTGTGCCTGGAGGGTGTCCTGGGCAGGCTGCAGTTATCTTTCCACTTTTCAGTCCTCGTGGTAAGTCAAAAGGAGTATGTCGATAAAACTCCCTTTTCTGGACAAATAACGATTAGATTTTTCTTCACTTCCAGGTCTGGCTACAAATACACAGCACTGTGCATCTTCGTTGTGCAGCTGACATTTGTTGAGCATGTAGTGGAATGTTTTGAAAATATACTATTATTCAGTACTTGTGTTTTCCATGCTTCTTGGTGTTTAAGGGTTGTCAGCTTCAACCACACTTGGCAGTAGATAAAGACAGTACTGTCTGACCTGCATTTCCTTCTACTCTGTTTTAACATTTTAATTCTGTTAATATTTTTCTAGGATAACCCCGCTTGAGGGCGGTTGGACCAGATGACCCACTGTGGTCCCTTACAGCCTTACCCATTGTGTGATTCTGTGATTCCCAAGTGGGAATTACCCTTTGGAGATGCAGGTGAGAGCCCCCAGACCCTGCTGCAGGTGAGGAGAGGGAAGAGTGGCTACAAAGCAGGCTCCTACACAGTTTGCCCAGAGCTACAGAGCTGTAAGTGGGCTCTATGCACACCCCAGGGAGCAAGCAGGACAACACCAAAATGACTCTTTGCCTGTAGCTTTCTCTCCAGAGTTCCTGCACAATACTTTCACAGCTGTCACCCCTTCATGTGAAATAAGATTTTGTGTAAACAAGGGGGAGAGAGGGCTTCCCTGTGCCAAGGTGGCAAGGATCAGCACTGGGGCATTGAATAAGGCTCTTTTTTCACTCCAGAGTCTACGGTGCATTTGCTGGATTGTTTTATAGGCACTAAGGCAGGAGGTGCAGATGACAGCTCGGAGCTGAGTAAGCTCTGATGAGGCTCCTCCTGTTTGCCTCTAAGTAAAACTGAAATAACTGGAGCTGAGCTGCATCAAGGTTCAGAACAGAAGGAGGCAGCATTTCCACCAGGTTGGATTAAATGACCATCAAAGCTGTAGGATGACACTCTTCATCATTAACAAAGCACAAGCAGAATTCCAGCCTGTGAGTGACTTGGGTAGTGAAGATCATTCACCACGCCAGATGGTAACATGGTAGCTGGACTACTAGATAGGTTACTTAGTCAATGGATTACCTCTAAAGTTGCAGGAGGAGAAGGCATCTTCTCTCTTGTGCCTGCAGAATGGCAGGAGGTTGAGGCTTCATTTTCCTTTCCAGTAAATGCGGTTTTCTTTGTGCTATACACAGGCTCCTGGCCTATGTTTAGGAATCCATGGCCATTAAAGATGCTCAGTAAGATAGGTAAAACTGCAGGCATTTGTTTTGACAGAAATTCTTTCTGCCTAAATAAGACCTTTGTTTCAGCTGACAATTCAACAGAAGGCTTGCCTGTGCTTTACACGCTTGACATTTTTTGTGGCTAAAGTCAATTTTACATGGTAGTAATACATCATCAGGAGAGTACTGAATTTTTTTTCATTGACCTTCTGTAGTTCCTGTTCCCATTTCTAGAAGTCATTTCAAATGTTGCTGTTGGTTATGTTCCATTTATGTTCAACCTGTTCCTCATGTCACTGCTGTCATTCATGCTAGCTAACTATGGAACTGAGAATCAAGATTTTTGTTTTCGATGAAAGTCCATTTTAAGTCTCCTTATCTGTCACTTATTAGTTGGAATTTCAGCATTACCCGAAGCACAGGTAAGGTGTTTTTCTCTCTTTATTCATTGCTTGGTATATGCAAGTTGCAATCCACTGCTCAGAAAGGGTTTTCCTACAGTGCAGCCAATGATAATTTGTGGATTGTGGGTAAAGCTCATATTTTTTTCTGGTAAAACTGTGATGTAACACTCACCAATAGAGATAGAGTTGCATCCACAGGTTCCGATGTCCCTATGGCTTTTCCTTCTATCCCTTTTTGAAGCAAACGTGTCATAGCCATGATGTTGCCACTTTCTGGTAGGGTGGGCAGAATTTTGCTTCTTCTTCTCCCCTCATTCCTAAGCAGAGATGTGAAGATGCTGGAAGAACTCTTTCTCTGGGCCTCCCTGCCAAGAGCTGCTCTTGTCACCACTTCTTGTCTGCAGGCTTCATACAACTGCTCATTTTTCTGAAGGATGAGCATCTAGAGGTGACAGTTTCATTACTCAGAGAACTCCAACTGACAGGGAAGTCTGTCACTAAATTTAGCA